AGGTCACCCCGCAGCTTCTCTTCTCCAGGCTGATCTCTGTGAAGCACAGCTGATGGGCTCTGCTCCTCATGTCCCATTGTGAGCTCCATTCTCATCCCTGTTCCCTTAATGCAGGCGGTGCAGAAGTGCAACATCTTGCACTTGAGAAGTGAGGGACAACCTGGGTGGTTCACTTTTTCTTGTGTTGGTGCTTGGGGATCTCTAACACTACAATGTTTCTGTGTTTGGAGCTCTTTTGTGTGCTTGCTTTTATAATAAGGAAAAAGGGCTGTAAGTGAAATCCAAGTCTTGTGGTGTTGGTTTACCTTTGGCTGTTGCCCGGTTATCTGGGATGGGATGGTCTTTGTCTGGGGGAGGAAGGGCTGTCTGTGTGCAATGCAGAGCTGTGACAGGGTTGGTCGAGGTCAGGAACCACAGCGATGCTGGGCATACAAATCCATCCCTGATATCTGTGACAAAGGCTTTTTCCATGCTGCTGTAATGGCAAATCTGCTGGAGAGGATCAGTGGTTCCTCCTGCAGGCTGTGCCTCTCTGCTCTGAGTGGTTTTTCTGTCCTTGTGGTAGACTGGGCAGCGTGCAGTGTGGGTCAGGCTGTGACACGATCCTCCTACACCAGAGCTGTTGGGCTGCAGGTCGTAGCCATAGAATGGTTGGGGTTGGAAGGGACCTTAAAGATCACGTAGTTCCAACCCCTGCTGTAGGCAGGGACACCTCCAAGCACAGCAGCTGCTCACAGCCCCATCCAGCCTGGCCTGCAGTGCTTCCAGGGAGGGGGCATCCACAGCCTCACTGCACAACCTGTGCCAGTGTCTCACCACCCTCCCAGTAAAGAAGAGCCACGTGTTTCTGGAGCTGGTTCTGGCTGCTGTGGGGAGGAGAGGGAAGCTTGCAGACATGGCTTTGGCCTCATTAGCTCCTTCAAAACCATGGATTGCCCATCAGGAAATCCTAGCTCTGCTGCACTGGAGCCTGCAGGGCAGACCTGCATTCTCCTTTGCTGCGGTGATAGAGGAGTCTCACTGCTCCCTTCTGAAGGCTTGTGGCCTTCTGCTAAAGGGAGAGCTGGGCAGGTGGGTTCCCATGCACAAGGATGGCAAGGCACTGAGTGCAGAAATGGCTCGAGGGCTGCTGTCCTCATCATGGTGGGTTTCTGATGCCATAAGGTGGCTGTAGTGCTGTGGGGGTTGGCTGAATTCAGTTCTTGGTTTGCCGGTGGTTTGTTTTTTCCAGCAGCCGTAAGCACAGAGCTGCTCTGTACTGCTTCCCCATTAGCCTGGAATAGCTGCCAATGTTTGCTTTTTTTTTATATACATTTTTCATGCTTTATTAATTGACAGTACAGTTAGACTCGGCGCAGACAGCTTTGACTTTTACCCAGATGAAAGAAGCAAACGTGGCGGCATCGGTTGGGCTTCCCCCATGGGCTGAGTTACTGTGGTGATGAAGTTGCGTGCTGTTCGCTGCTGACACAACAGTGAAAGCTGCGGGGCTGCAGAGCTGCACTGCTGTCACCTCCCCAGAGAACGCAGAGGGGAGGCACGGCGTTACAGCTCTGCTTTGCTGGGAGTTGCTCACTGTGCTTTTGTTGTCACGTTGGTGCAACCCTGAGTGCTGTACAGCAGCGCCCTGCCCTGCGGCTGCCGTTCTCTCGGTCGCATGGCAATAGGAATTGCTGAGCTGGGGGCTGTTCTGCTCGGAGCTGTGCGCAGTGCAATGCAAAGAGCTCGGGAGCTGAGGTGTGCTCATCTGCACACTGCTGGCTGTGGCACCACGCTGGAGCAGATGGGAGCTAGTACGCAGCTTTGAAAGCGTATACTGCCCTGCATGCATGTAAGTCATCCTTCTTGGTGTAAGGCACGGCTGAAGGCGTGCTGGTGTGGTTAACAGCAGGATGGAAGGCTCACAGCTTGCAGGGATGCTTAACTTGGGAAATGCAGCCTTGGGATGTGATGGAGCTGTGTTCCCAATTAGTGTTAGGTGTGGAGCTGGGGCTGTGTGTGTCCTGGAGCAGCTGGGCTGTGTCCCAGCTCTATGGCAGGAGCTGTGTGGTGCTGTAGGACACAAAGGGAGTGCTGTTTGTGGTGTGTCAGTGTGCATAGTGCTTGGGGAGACTTGGTGAGGTCTGACTGCTGTGTGACACCATTACTTCCATCTTCTGAAGGTCCCAGCTCAGGTTTTTTAAGGGGCTTTAGGAGAATTTGATATGAACGAAGCACAAAGGTTTCACTGCTCATGGATGTAGGGGAGCTGATTGTTCTATGTGAGCAAGTCATGTTTGTTCTGCTTGGTGAGCCTTGGTGAGAAGGTTGCATCCTGTAAGTGCACAGAGTTACATTAGGAGTAACATTATTTTACGTTCTCTGATATCTTTCTGTATCTGTGTGATGTTTGGAAGTGATTGGTTGTAAAGCACGTATGGAAGTTGCTGTAGGAAGCCTTGTGCATGCCTGGGCTGTAATTGGCCTCTTCCTGTATTAGGAACAGAATCAGACTCAGGCAGTGAATCTCTCTGTAAGGCACTGCTGGCTGCAAGGAATCTGTGGTGCTGCACAGATAGGTGCGGTGTGCTCACCCATGCCTGACCCTTATCCCCAGCAATCCCTGAACTCTGCTCTGCAGCTGACCAAGCAGCCTGGGGACTCGGGGAGCCTCTCTCCATGTTGTGTCAGCCTCTGTGCCAAGGCAGCCTGTGTGCTTTGTCTTTCAGTATGTGCAAGCAGATGCTCCTACCAACAAAACTCTGGCTGGGCTGGTGGTGCAGCTGCTGCAGTTCCAGGAAGATGCCTTTGGGAAACATGTCACCAATCCTGCCTTCACCAAGCTCCCGGTGAGTGTCACACAGCTCTGTCTCACTGGGGCTGTGCTGCTGCCCTCTGTGCTGGGGCTCTGCTCAGCCAAAGGCTTCAGTGGCATATCTGCAAGGGGCTGAGGTCTGGGTACGTGTTTGGAGATGATTTCCTGAATGCTGGGGGAAGGTTTTGATGTTGGGTTGGCGTCTTATGTGGACTGTTAAGCATTAAATCAAACCTGTTGGCACTGATGCGTGACTTTATAACCACAGAATGGCCTGGGTTGCAAAGGCCCACAATGCACAAATCCAGTTCCAACTCTCTGCTGTGTGCAGGTCACCAACCAGCAGCCCAGGCTGACCAGAGCCACATCCAGCCTGGCCTTGAATGCCTGCAGGGATGGGGCATCCACAGCCTCCTTGGGCAACCTGTTCCAGTGCCTCACCACCCTCTGGCTTAAAAACTTCTTTCTCATATCCACCCTAAACCTCCCCTGTCTCAGTTTAAGACCATTCCCCTTGTCCCATCACCATCTACCCTCACAAACAGCCGTTCCCCCTCCTGTTTAAATGCTCTCTTCAAGTACTGGGAACACCTGACACCTGAATAACTAGAAACTCCAACTGAAGCCATCTCACCCATGATGCCACTGATGCTGGAAAGAGGCAGGAGCACATCTGTAGCAGTGCACTGACCTCATTAGTCCAGGGCAGCTCACCAGTCACTCACTGCACTGGCAGACAGAAGTAGTCCCAGCCTGTAAGGCTTGCTGGGAGCATTTTGAGTTCAAACTTGGTGCACCTTTACCAGTGACATCCTTGGGACTGGACTTGGAGGTCGGCCCCGTGTGCCTTGCATCCTGTGTGCCTTGAGGAGGGTCTTGTGGAAGGAGCATAAAGTACAAAACACACATGGTGAGGGGTGCAGTGCAGGGAGCCCTGAGGCCTGGCACTGTGCTGAGGCTGCTGGCTCTGTTTGGGCTGCAGCTGGCAGGGATGCAGTGCTGCACCAGCCCTATGCATGGGTGCAGGGCAGAGATGTGACCGCAGCAATGCCTTGTGGTTACAGCACCGAAGGGCTTGTTGTCCAACCTTGTTAGTTCTCAAATAGCAAAATGGCAATTACCTGTAGTTGCTTCTGTGTTTCAGTGAAGGTTGTAGTGAGGAAGCAGCCCTTAAGGCAGCAGATTGTGAGGCCAGTTGATCTCGGTCACCTCCTCACGATGGATTTTGTTAGGTGAAATGGTTGAAGGGATTCTGTCTCACCAAGGATTGTCTCCTGGTTTGGGTGTCACTGCTGGAAGCTCTTTCCTTCTGTTATTCCGTGGCCTCCCGAGGGGCAGCTGCCTGCCGTGCTTCGGGCTCTGGGTCACTTTGGGTGCACAGCAGAGCTCTGAACAGGTGGTGCAGCAGAGGCAGCTCTGTTCCTTTTGAATGCTTCTGAAGGATCTTTTGTGTGTTGGTTTTGGACAGCAGTTATGTGATACGTCCCAGAGCTGCTTCTCTTTCCCTTAGCAGCCCCAGAGCCAAGAAGGCAATGTTCCATGGCGTTCCCATACCTGGTGGAAGAACTAATTTAAAGCATTTGTCAGTACTGCCAGTGGTGTGAGTTGGTGCTCGTTCTGCATTAGCAAACACTCCTGGGTGCCACCGTTTTCACTTTTCTTTCTGGTTCTAGGCAAAGTGCTTCATGGATTTCAAAGCTGGAGGTACATTATGTCACATTCTTGGTGCTGCTTACAAATATAAGAATGAACAGGGCTGGTAAGTTCTGATTTTGGTTTGTACACCTTTTGCATGTGATGAAGCACATGAAATGCCTATGCAGACTCCTGGAGATTTAATACTTGCTGGAGAATTGGGTAGGCAAGGGAGTTGGAGATGGGAAGAGGACTTTTTTCCCTGCTTTGCTGATGGTAGCTTTGTCTAAAGAAACACCCGAGTTACATTCCTCAATTTGAAGGCAAGTTGTCCAAGTTTGGGCTCCTGAGCTCTGAGGTTAGGAGTTGATTACAAACTTGAGACTTTCCTTTTTTGCATTTATTTGCCATCTGATAGAACAAATTAATCCCTTATTGTAGAAACTGCTTCCCATCTGGAAGATGCAGATCATTATTACTGTATTGAGCATGGGGTTTATTCGTAGCTGAGGAATAGGAATTGTTGCAAAGACACATAATATATATATCACATCACATACATACAAAGCAATCCGCTGCTTCTCAACCTTCATAAATGAGGAGTGTGAGTTAAAGCTCTGCCCTGTACCACTGACATGACTGGTGAAGCTCTTCATGTGATATCCATGTAGTTCTGGCTTCTGCATCTCTAAGTTAGCCACAGAATCATAGAATGAATCACAGAACGGCCTGGGTTGCAAAGGAGCACAATGCACAAATCCAGTTCCAACCCCTGCTGTGTGCAGGTCACCAACCAGCAGCCCAGGCTGCCCAGAGCCACATCCAGCCTGGCCTTGAATGCCTGCAGGGATGGGGCATCCACAGCCTCCTTGGGCAACCTGTGCCAGTGCCTCACCACCCTGTGGATGAAAAACTTCCTCCTCACATCCAACCCAAACCTCCCCTGTCTCACTTTAAAGCCATTCCCCTTGTCCCATCACCACCCACCCTCACACACAGCCATTCCCCCTCCTGTTTATCCGCTCCCTTCAAGCACTGAAGGCCACCATGAGGTCTCCCTGCAGCCTTCTATTTTCCACGCTTAAATAAGCCCTGGTCCCTCAACCTTTCCTCATAGGAGAGCTGCTCCAGCCCTCTGATCATCAAGACCCTTCCGAGGTCCATCAAGGTCCTTCCAGGAAGGCATGAGTTACTTGAGAACATTAGAGGAAAATGAGGATGAGAAGTCTTGAGATAAAAGCAAGCAGAGATGGGTTTTGTACAAGCATTTAAACAACTCTTGATCTGATGTTGTGCAGACCTGTAAGAGCGTTCCTGGAACTGGCTGTGTTTCTGTGACCCACAAAAGCAATTCAAAAGGCAAAAATCCAGTTATTCTGGTAGGGCTGGTTGGTTTTGAGCCGTTCATACTGACGTCAGCACATCGGATATCTGAGGTGCTTATATGGGAGAGCAAGAAGGAGTGAAGTGCTGCCAGGCTTTGTTTCCTTACTGCCAGCACCTGGGGCGAGATGCCTGTTGGCAGTGTTCTGTGTGCCCTAGCACTCAGAGTTGCCTTGCTGCCTCTTTGCCTGCAGGTAAATATTCATCAAGTAGGAGCCACTTCCATGTTCCCCTTTTTTATTCCAGAACAAATGGAGTTTTCATTCGTTGCAGATGTCAGCACAGCGCAGGCACGCGGCTGCCTCCTCTCTTCTCACTCTCTTGCTGGTTCCTCAGCACTAGTGGGTAGTGCCTTGTGGTCGTGCATGTGGGATGTAGAGGGAAGTAATACTGGAAACTTAACTCTGAGAATCAGATTTAGATCTTGGAATGTGTCCTTCACTGACCCAACCAAATAATACGTGGTGTTTTGCCTGAAATATGATTTTTGATTTGATGGTATGCATTGTCGCTCTTGCTTAACCTGTTTGTGAATGATCTGTCTTATAGGAGAAGTACCTTTCCTCGCCACAATAGGTATGTCTGAAAAGTGCACTTACCCAGTGCAGCTGGACATACCCTGCCTGTCACTGCCATTGAAGTGGTTGGTGGCTAAAACCTGCCAGAGGTGTCCTGTAATCTGAGCACAGGAGGGATTAGCACTGCTATTTCATCTCCTTTACAAAGAGTTCTGTTACTTGGTACATGGACGTGCTTCTCTTCGAGTCCGGGCTGCAAAAGTGTGGGGCATGAATAGCATTTAATGAATCCAAAATGCAGGTTGCAGGCAACCAAATGTAACAGCTTTGATCAAACCAGAGCGCCTCCCGTCTTTGTTTCAGAGGCACTGCCAGCTGTTGGCCATTAGGAAAGTAGATCCTTTTGCATTAATTTGACATTTATTTCCATTTGCTTGCTTGAAACTTTACCTATCCGAAGCACACGTGGTTTGAATAAACCATGACACATCAGATGTGTGTGAGTCCTGAAGAAGTGGCTGGGCTTTGGCTCAGCATCCTGTGTGTGTCGGTGCAGCGGTGCATTGGGCTGTGCTCGTCCTGCCTCAGCATGCAGCTCCCACGTGCACAGACAACAGCTATGTCAGGTATCCTCTGCCATTTGTTCCCAGCTCCTTAGCAGGAGGGGATGCATCTGTAACGGAGGGTAGGAAGAGCCTTCTGCTGATGCTGTGTGCTGCTGCGTCGGGCAGCTGCTGCCTGATGCTGAGCCCCTGCTGAAGGAAGACATGGCAGCCGCAGCTGAAGGGTCTGGGTTATGTTCAGCAGCGCCTCTGTGATGCCCTGGCTGTGCAGTAATGGGTTTTCTGACTTCAGTCCTGCTTTGGTTTACCTTTGCTGCATATTTATGAACTTTAAACATTGATTTGATGTATTACTGGAAAGAAGTGTGTGTCTAAAAGAAACAGTCATGAAACATACGAGCACAGCACTGTGTTCTGGTGCTTGGAGCTGCGCTCTGAACTCGGAGCAGCTCGCTGGTCGCTGCAGGGTAGTGAGTTCATGGCTGTGGGAAGTATTTCTACATGCTGAAATCCCTCACCGCTCCTGGCTGCCAGCTCAGCATTCCAATTCAGAGCACTCTCAGCCCCAGCTGGTGGCTGTTTCCAAAGCTGCACAGGCACAGAGGTGCAGCAGGCAGTGCTGACCACCCGGGGCAATGTTGTGTTGGGCTGAGCCTGCCTTGGAGCCCTGCAGCTCCGTGCCCATGGCTCATGCAGTGCTCTTAGTGCCATCAATGCCCAGCCTGACCCTTTCTGGGGCATGCTTTTTGGGTCCTTCACTCAAGGTGGTTCACCTGCAACACGTGCAGGTGGGTCTGCAGGATGCCTGCTGGGACTCTTGTGCTTCTGCCTTCCCCCTTTCTCACGGATGCTTCCATCTGCACTGTCACTGCCAGACTTGAATTCATTTCTTGCTGCAGCAGGGAGCTTTAAAGTACCAGAGTCCCATAAAGACGATCATCTTGGTGGACTCGGTGCTCTCAATGAGCCCCTTCCAGCTTGGGCTGTTCTATAATGCTGATGTGGGTCGTTAGCTGCCCTGTGCTGTGCATGAGGCCCTTCTCATGGCTCAGGAAGGGATTGCCCATGTTCCTGGGCTGGATTTTGGGGTGGGTGCTGGGAGCACCCAGCGGTTGGACAAACTCCACCACTGGGTCGTGGGTTTTCCCCCTCCAGCTATTGAAATCTGCCTTGAATATTTGATGGTTTCCATTGAATTATCCCCTGTGCCTGCAGTGGAAGACACAGCCCTTCTGCAGGGTTTTGCTGGACAATTCCAGCCTTCGTTTTTCTTAAACCTATCACAGATCATTTTCATTTTGTTGATTGTTTCATTGTGTTGGTTTTTTTCACTTGAGGGCAACCAAGCGAAGCAAAATTACTTGATTGTGCCCTGAATGTTCCTGTCTAGCTTCCCAGTGTGTTGTTTTTTATGTGTAATATGAGAGATTCTTTGCTTCTGAGCAGAGGAAAGTTGAATCCTTTAATACTTTTTGAATGGTTTCCCTCTACAGGCGGAGGTTTGACCTGCAGAACCCATCCCGGATGGACCGAAACGTGGAGATGTTCATGAACATTGAGAAAACACTAGTGCAGGCAAGAGACTCAGATCAGCCTGGAGTTCCCTGTGCATAGAATGGCTTGGGTTGGGAGGGATCCCAAGGATCATGAAGCTCCAACCAATGCAGGGCCACCAACCTCCCCATTTCACAGCAGCCCAGGCTGCCCAGGGCCCCATCCAACCTGGCCTCCAACACCTCCACGGATGGACGGGGCATCACAGCCTCTCTGGGCAGCTGTTCCAACCCCTCACCGCTCTCACAGCACACAACTTCCCCTCACATCCAACCTCAATCTTTTCTCCTTCAATTTAAAACCATTTTCCCAGTCCTGCTGTTACCTACCTCAGCTTCCTCATGAAGCTGAAGAGCTTCCACTCTAACTTCTCTCTAAGTTTTAAGTATTTCCCTCCCTCTCCTTCCCCATCTTGGTCACGTTTGTTGAACTACTGGAAAGCTTTGGGGTGTTCACACTGATACTTGATGGATGCACTCAGGGTGAGGAAGAATGCCAGTGAGGTTGGGCAGTGCATCCCCAACATCTCCATCATCCTGTGCAGCTCCCACCTTCAGGCCTGAGTAACTGCTGCTCTGCACATCCAGTCTTTCCTCCTTGAGACTTTCAGCTTTGTGGTGAGATTGAGCCTTTTCAGGGCTGGAGTGTATTTTGACCCTCACTTCTTCTGTCAGACCTCCATTGCTGCTGCCAGGAAACATCAGGTAGCAGTTGTGTGGGGTTCCATCTGAAGTTATTTGCTTTCTTTTTTTACTGCTGGATGAGAATAATGAAGTATTTTTCCCGAACTCCAGAACCTGAGCTCTGTCTTTTATTGTCAGACCGCATAACAACAAACGTAACTTTCAAGTGATTGTCAAAAATGGAAATGAGAGAAGGATAAGAAACAGTGCTTCTTATTTCAAAAGTGTTAAAATCATACAGCTGAATGTGCCCGTAATAATGTGCATGTTCAATCCCAAGTGAATGAAAGGCATCCCTGTCAGGGCTGTGGGAATGCACAGGCAGTAGGGCAGCGTGGGGCTGCAACTTGTCACGTGGGGAACTTAAATTCCCTTTAATGAAGGTCCTGTCAGGATACTTTGAAACCCAAGACATGGCTTTTATCAAGGATGTGTTGTGAAAGCAAGACAGGAACTGCTGTGGTGAGCTGTGCTGCCGTTCCCTACACCAACAGCCCTGTGATGGGTGAACAGCACAGCTGCAGAAATGAGCTGAGGATGAGGCTCCAGCAGGGGGTGGGCATGGGAGTGTTGTCCTGAGGGCTGCTGGGGCTGGAGTTAGCACATCTCACCTGTCTGACACATCTGGGCCCCTTTGAGCTTTTTGCAGCATGGGTGGTTGCGATAGGAATTGTTTGGTCACACACGATCTGCTAAATCCTTATTTTGTCTCCTCTCCACAGAACAACTGTCTGAGCAGACCAACCATCTACCTCATTCCAGATATAGAGCTGAAGCTGGCTAATAAACTGAAGGATATTGTCAAACGTCACCAGGTAAGTGACACAGCATTTCCCAGGACGGTGTGTTGCATGGCTGCAGCATCCTGGTGATGTTTGGATGCCAGGCAGCAGCAAGAAGTCGGTTCAGGCAGCGGGTCAGCCATCTGTAGGATGCCATGAGTGGTTGTCATCACGTGGGTGCTGAATCATTGCTCTGCTCTGAAAGTAAATGAGCTGCTGAGGCTTAAAGCAGCCAGCAGTGTGAGATGTGTTTTCTCGGTGAGGTTGCTGCAGGCCTGAGCTGATTTAATGTTGAATTCTGCTCACGGAAAGCAGAAGCTCACAGTTTGTCCAAGTCTGAGCCCAAAAAAGGCAGTGCATAGCATAACTGTTCTAGACGTGTGGGAGCAAGCATAAAGAAGTTTCAGTCTTAAAAACGCTGCCTTTTTAGGTCTTTTTTATTACTTTTTCTATTTTATTTATGCTGAACAGAGCACAAGCAACATCAGGTTCTTGTTAGTACAATTCCACAGGAATCAACATCTTTGTAGTTTAACACACTCAGTGATGGCCTGAGCAAGGTTCATGGCTTCATCTTTTAAAACATAAATGGGCTTTCACTTCTCTTGAGGGAAACACTCTGGGATGTGAACTCTTTGGCCAGACAGTTCTGAGCAGAGCATGGCTCTGGGTGAGTGGGGAGGGAATGTGCTCTGTAGTCCTTTGCGTCAAGACAGCTCACTGCTGGTAGCCAAAGGGAATGCTTTCCTTCCCAGGTTAAATGTATTTGCTGTGTTATGGTTCTGAATCATCATCTCAGCTTTAACTGTACAGCTTTTCTCAAGTTACTCACAGAGTCACAGCATGGTTGGGTTGGAAGGGACCCCAAGGATCACGAAGCTCCAACCCCC